AGAGAGACGTACCGTCGACGTTAAGTACAGTGGGCTGGGATATGGCCATCTGGTCGCCGGCGATGCCGACGCAATGCACGAGACTCTGGTCCCGTGGCGTGACGCAGTCAATGACCAGCTTGGAGACCTCGCGCGCTATCGCCGTGTAGGAGACGTCGGCGATGCTCTCGTGCTCGAGCTGCTCGACCTGAGGCAGACGACAAAATGGACGTGAGCGTGAGGTGGGCCCTTTGCAGCGAGTGCCCCGACCCGAGCGCGCGAGCCCACTTACCTGCCTCCCGGGGTTCTCGCCCATGACCCAATAAATCCGCGGCGGCGGACTCCCGTCGACCTCGCACTTCAGCTCCAGTCTGTGCCTGTGCGTTTTAAGGCATAAGTAACATTAGCTCGCTGATCGCGGGTGGTCGCGTGGGACTGTTGTAGCTGTTGGGAATCGAGGGAATTGGACGACGGTGCTGGAACGGGGGAGGAGGAGAGGTATCCTCGCATTGGCAACTCACCCCTTGGGTATGGTGACGTAACCGCTGGGACTGGACTTTATCGTCACGTACTTCTCCAGCTGGTCCTTCTGTAAAGGCAAATCGTTGAGCTCGCTTCGGCTTTCGGTCGGCCGCTCGTCACGAGCGCGCAATTTTGTAGCTGATGAAATTTTATAGACCTGCGGGCTCTCGGCAAGGCTCAGTTCAGGCGCGCTCAGTCGCATTTCCTGAGAATAAAGGCTCGCGTCCTCGGCGACGTCCTGCTCGACGTCGTGGAGGGTCCGACTGAAGCTGAAGGCCAAGGCATCGCCGGCGAGGCTGAGGAGAAGCGCCGCAAAGGCGCAGGGGCCTCCGAGTCCTCGTCGCATCTACAATTGTGACAGGTTTGCGTTATTCTTTAACGATGGTGGCGATGGTATTGATGGTGTTGGTGATGGCGATCACGGCAACGACCACGATAACGGCCGCAACAGTGACGACGACGACGACGACGACGACGACGACGACGACGACGACGACGACGACGCGCGTGCACCAAAAACCGGTATGCGACTCGCGTCGATGTCTTTGCTCTATCTGGGCATTCTTTCGCATTCATTCTCTCTCACTCTCTCTTTCTCTTTTTCTCTTTTCCCTTCCTTCTTCCATCTCTACCTTCTTTTCTCACTCACGCACACACACACACACACCCTCTCTCTCTCTCTCTCTCTCTCTCTCTCTCTCTCTCTCTCTCTCTCTCTCTCTCATAAGTTCTCCGAGGCGCACGCGCTCCAGCGAGCGAATAGTGGCGGTCGTGCTAAAAAATCGGATATCTCGATCTGGGTATCATATTGCATCAGAGTCAAGGAATGATACGAGGGTGGGATCGCGGTAAGAGAAGAGGAATGGAGGGCGGGAGGGGGAGAGAGAGAGAGAGAGAGATAGGAAGGAAGGATGGAAGGAAGGAAGGAAGGAATGAAGGCAGGAAAGTAGAATGAAAGGAAGGAAGAAAAGATGAATGGATGGTTAGGTACGAGAGGAGGAGGGGTACGTAGGGGCGAGGGAAAATTGGATAAGTGGGCAGTAGTCGCTGGTGGAGCGAACGGAGACAGGTAAGCGCCGGTGCTCGAACGATATCTCACCGGGGTGCCGCCGCTCGTTCTTCTTCAGCGGTTAAGTTGAGGAACAAAGCTCCCTTGGGTCACTCACCATTGACAAGCAAGACGCTGATACAACGGATGAAGCACCGTTGGGACACCGTGGAGGTACCGGTGATACACCGCTGACACAAGGTTGTCACGAGTGGTTGAGGAAGTGGGGCCGCTCTCGAGTTCGCTGCACACTTGCTGGTCCGTTCGTACTTAGTGCGGACTAAATCACTTTTATTTTTCAGTCCTTTGAAGGAGGCGATAGAGTCGACTGCTGAGCCAAGTCTTGCCGCCGGTACATTTATACGTTCAAATGCAACAATCGTCTTCTCTCGTTTCCTTCCGATTGGCCTTCGAAATCGAGAGTGGGGATTGGTTTCCCCAGCAACTAATTCAATTCTTCAGAGCCGTACCCCTCGAGAAAGAGCGAAAGAGAGGACGCGCGCCGGCGCTGAAGTAGGAGGAGGAGATGGCAGAGATGGTCGAGTCGCCGAGAGGGGCTGCGGGACGCGGGAGGAGGGAGGAGCGCGTTTGCGGCGCGGTGTTGGGGAGGTGGGGAGGTGACGAAGCGACGACGGTGGCGGCAGTGGCGGTGGTGGCGACGGCGCTAGGAACAGTGGGGCCGGGAGGGCAAGGGAGGGAGTGGGAGTCATCGAAGCGAGAACGCGAGTTTCCCCCGACGCTCCGTTTCACTCTCTCTCTCTCTCTCTCTCTCTCTCTCCCCCCTGCTCTCCTTTCTCGATTGCACGTGCCGTGAGCCCGAGACTCAGAGGACGTCGCGCGCTCAGCACTCGTGAGTCGTCGGCTCCGAGCGGCTCGAGAGCTCCGAGTGGTCCGAGTGCCGGAGTGGCGTTCGACGCCTCTACCACGTGTGCCGCTATTCGCCGCGATCCAAATTCAGCTCGCTTTCTTGGAAGAACGCACGGTGATTTTGACAACTTTCGGCCTAGTCGAGATCGTATCTGCTCCCTCATCCCCCGGCCCTCTAGCGCTTTCTCTCTGCCTCTT